GTCTTTAAACATTGCTTTTACTATATTTATTTATCCTATTTTACAGGTTCAAACATTGAGAAGAGAAAGAATGGGAAGTATCAATGTGACAGTTGCAAGAAAATATTCATTTCGAAGCGAGGATTTGTATGTCATCGAAGGATTCACAGTGGAGAAGGACTCTTGTCTTGCAAATTTTGTAATCGTCGGTTCAGTCAATCCAGCCATCTTCATACCCACGTCAACACTCACACTGGAGAAAAACCCTTTACCTGTGATCATTGCAAACGGAGTTTTACACAGAAAGTAACTCTGATTGAACATCTGCGAACTCACACAGGGGAGAAACCCTTTACCTGTGATCATTGCAAACGGAGTTTTACACAGAAACGGACTCTGATTGAACATCTACGAGTTCATACAGGGGAAAAGCCATACTCGTGTACTTATTGCTTAAAAAAGTTCCGTTTTAAAAGTAGTTTAAATAATCATATTATCAAATGTCATAATAACAATGAATGAAGGAAAATGTTAACAAAAGTATTTATTCGTATTTCGATTTTATTGAATATAAAAAGAAGAAATTTTTGAAGTTTTATTTTTTCATTTTGTAACTTTGATATTGTATATAAAGCAATTGCTTTTATGTACCGAAAAACAATAGCTTGTAGAATTATTTTTTTAATGAATGAAAGTTGAGTTAACATGGTGTAATTTTACTAGTTTATGTACACGTGTCATTGATTAATACAGAAGAATACGTGATAGGATAGAGAGTGATACAACGCGCAGTGGTTAATAAATTTAAAATATGGGTTCTATCCTCTAAACATTTTTATTAACAATTTTTAATGTCGAAGAACGTTATTTCAAGTTTTTCTTGAAATTGAATTTTCATATTTAAAAATGTTTCAAAGATATAAAATGTATGCAGGGAATCTCATTTGGGGTTTTTTTGTTTTGCTTAAAAATACTAAAGGTCAAACAAAGTACACGTAGATGTTTGATGACAAACTACACGTTGTCAAAAATTAGCTGCTAAAGTTAAAAACCAGTGCGATGGATTGAAAGTAACCACAATTTCTGGACCGCCTGATTAGCACCACGTCAGAATGACACCACTTTGTCAAGTGACAAAAATCGCGATAGTGGTCGCTTGTTTAGGCGGTCGGATCCGGGACGACAGAGACTGCGCGTTTTAAGGAAGTGCGCCAAACAATTTTAACAATAACAAATATCCGTTTATTAACTACTAGCTGTTACCCGCGACTTCGCCCGCGGTGGTTTTGCAAGCAAACCCCATTTATATTCAGTACTAGCTGCAAGATCCCGCTTCGCTGGGTTTTTATTTGTATGTAATAGTATAGTTTTTTTATATATGTAAAAGACTGTTTTTCTAAGTAATCTAGAATCTAGCTGCAAGGACCCACTTCGCTGGGCAAAATGTAACGACAGTGAAGATTAAGATAATTACATTATAGCTAATCTTACCCGTTTTCACAAAATGCAAGAATTAGGTCCCCGTTTCCAGACTAATTAGAGAATTTTTACGTTTAGTCAAACGAACAAATTTCAACGTTTCTGGAATGTTTTTAATCGTTCTGTAATCGAACCAATTCGAATTTTATGTTCGAATTAAATTCGAACAAATTCGAAAAAATCGAACAAAGCATTCGAAATAGAAAGGCACTTTCAACTACTTTTAGCCTCATATCTCCCGCACCCTTATGGCTATCGAGACGCGACCACCCCTGTGCACGAATGGAGACTTGGGGCTACCACTACATACAAACACCATTCACGTGCGATGTGTAGTTTTGGCGAAAAAGTGAG